TACGTACGAACGTACGTACGACGTACGACGTACACGTAGTACGTACTACGTACGACTACGTAGTACGACCTACTACGACACTACGACTACTACGACACACACACACACACACACACACACACACACACACACACACACACACACACACACACACACACACACACACACACACACACACACAGGCTTTTACAAAGCAATCTCCCACATCGTTCTGCTGCAAGTAATTACTCATCAGATTGACTTGTAATCCGACGGCGCGAGTAAGAATTACTTTTGTGTTTAGCACCTATCATCCCATTTTTCGTGCTAATGGAGCATATCCCCTCTCCCTCCTACATCTCTTCACGACACTAGCAGCCGAGAGCTGAGACGACGTCAAGAACGGCCACCCGACACCTGTGTACACACACGAGGAGTGGCGCACGGGGGAGGCACACAGAGGCAACGCTGAGCCGCGAGCCGTCCTAAGGACCTGAAAACTGCTGCAGAGGCGAAGGCGATTAGGCCCGAAAACATTTGGTCGTGAAAAGCGGGAGAAAGGCGTGCGCGATTCCGGCACGATGTCACTCAGGGCCGTGCGCGGCAATGAAGTGGGCACGAAAGGCGATCCACTTAAGGGCTGCGTTGGACAACAGAACGCCAACAAAGCTCCTGTTGGCAAGACCTGGGAGCTCTTAAGCCGAGCGGTGTTAGGTGTGAAAATGGCGTATCAGTAACACGCCATCGGAGTATGAGTAAACAGGATTACCCCGCGCAGCTGCCCGCGCATGCCAATGAGAGTATCGGCCAAGCCGCCGCAAACTTTATCGCTGGCCGATGCTGCAGGTAGAGGAGAACCAAAACACTTCTCATCGCTTAATTAGCTTACGTCACGTTTCCCTGCAATGCCATTGACATAGGGAGCTCTTATCACTCGCTCCCATCCGTCAGGCAGTGTCCGCCGATCGTCTGTCCATCTATTTACGGCCAACGCCGACAGGTCTGCTGGCCGTATCGCTGTCTGTCGCTATAAGTCCATCGCTGTAAATCGTAAAGGTATTAGTTATGAACTAAACTATGCGCTTTCTCAAATTAATTATATATGTGTTGCTATTGTAATTAGAAAATCACAAATTTATTGTTCATGTTATAATTTAATATTTATTAATGTATTAATAATTACAAAAACAATTAAATTGTCAAAGGATAATTACACACACACACACCACACGCACACGCACACGCACACGCACACGCACACGCACACGCATACACACACACACACACACACACACACACACACACACACACACACACACACACACACACACACACACACACACACACATATATATATATATTTATTTATATGCGCACATATATGCCATACTGAATTGTACATGTACACACTCACGCATCAATGTGGTATGCGTGTGGCGCAGGGCATTATGGGGGATTGACAAGAATACAAAAGATGACTGAAGTATCATATACAACATGTACATAATTATGATACATATGTATGTATCTTGCATCAATATCTTCCACGAGTATAAGCATCCTCACATCAATAGCCGCTACATGGTGTCCGAAGTGTTCTACAATTACAGTGCCTGTGAGTGAAAGAACAGGATTCGGATCTACACGTCGATACTACGCAAAAGTTCGAAGAAAAAATAATCGTTTGCATAGCAGCCAGCATAAGCGTGAAACTGAAATTAACAATGGCGGAAATATTTGTAAAACCACCCGAGCCACTTGCAATTCACGGCGGAAATCCAGCTCATTCTTGGGACAAGTGGAAGAAGAAGAAGTTTAATATATATCTACAGGCCACCGGCTCAACATCAAAGGCTAGTGAGCAGAAGGTAGGATAACTGCTACCATCACATATGAGATCAAGGCATTGACATATTATACACAATCTTCGTGTTTTTGCCAGGCGAGTCTCGGCATCGCTAAACCCGACTAGACTGTGCGACTGATTGTCTATACAAACTAATACAAAGTGATTAGCAAGACCGTTTCTTGGAGCTAGGCATCGCTATGACCTATGACGATGTGATTGTAAAATATAACTAGTATTTCGGCTACCACTCAGGAGCTTAAAGATTCGAAAACAACCTCGATTGAAGCTGTAAGACATCAGCCACAGATATAGCATAATAAGCAACCGTGGAAGAAAGGAAAACCCATTGAGCGTGTAGTATTGTGGTATGGTGATGCGGGTATGTGACAGAAATCATTCCTTCGGAAAGCGAACTGTCCAGCAGCCAACCACAAGTGCAAGAAGTGCGCAAATACAAGGCACTTTGAGGTGATCGGCAGAGGCACAGGCACTTGGGCCCATAGGGTCTATGTCCCCCAGGGTACTATCGGAGGGTACCCTGGGTACGGTTCGATATATCGGAACGTACCCTGGTAACTATCTGATATGGTTAGGGTTAGGGTTAAGGTTAGGGTTAGGGTCAGGGTTAGGGAGAAGGCGTAGGCGACTCCCTAGACTCGTTAGTGGAGTAGGCGAGGTTCGGTCCGGCATATTAGATGGTACCAGGGTACGCTCCGATATATCGAACCGTACCCAGGGTACCCTCCGAACGTACCTTGAGGGGCATGGACCCTCTCAGCGGCACTTGGAGCGTTTCAATAAAATAGAATGCTAAATAAATACGAAATCTATTTACTACCAAAGTCTTAATGTTTCTATACTCTCTTTCACCTATTATTGCCGACAATTTCCTGTAAATGCCGTCTAAATGCTCATCTACAACAAACACTGGCTGCCGCCATTGGTGCCGCTGCACACTGACACATAAATATATAGAATATAGATATATTTATGTGTCAGTGTGCAGCGGCAGCAATGGCGGCAGCCAGTGTTTGTTGTAGATGAGCATTTGGACGGTATTTACAGGAAATTGTCGGCAATAATAGGTGAAAGAGAGTATAGAAACATTAAGACTTTGGTAGTAAATAGATTTCGTATTTATTTAGCATTATATTTTACAGAGTGGCTATATGCCCGGCAGCCGGCAT